CCCGCGGGACGCGCCCGCGCTGCGCCGCGGGCTGCGCTTCTACCAGGAGCAATACGGCTTCGTGGGTGGGTGGGTGCGCGCGCGGGGCCCTGCAGCACCGGGGGGCCGAGGCCGGGGGAACTGCTGGGGCGCAGGGCAGGGCCGGCCCCACGTCCAGGCCATGCCGCCGCTGCCTCGGGACGCGGGCGAGCACGAGCTGTGCAGAGCTGGACACATTCCTGTCGTCGGCAGGGTTTTCGTGCCGTCCCCCCAGCTTGGGGGGTGCGGGGAGGGCTGCCGGGGCGACGCCTGGCACGGGGAGACGGTCAGACCAGGTGCGCGGGGCAGGACGCTTTTCCGCAGGCGCGGGGTGGGGAAAGCCCGAGTCGTACAGACGCGTCCAGGCCTGGGTGATCCCTTCAGCCGAGCTGATTCCTCACAGCAGCTTTTTCAGCCGGGATCAGGAAAAGGCCACAGAGTCAAACCAGGACTCAGGGGGGACCTGGTGGCAGCCGATAAGTACATGAGAGGGGTGCATCAGGATCTGGGGGAGCGCCTGTTCACCAGGGCAGCCCAAGGGAAGACGAGGTCCAGTGGTTGCAAACGGTCGCTTTAGGCTGGACATAAGGACAAACTTCTCTACTGTCCAAGCCCCTCAAGGCCTGGTGTAGACTCCTCCAAGAAGCGGTGCAAGCGCCTACTCTGGACACATTTAAGAAACATTTGGATGCTTATTGTGCTGGGATCCTTTGACCCCAGCTGACTTCCTGCCCCTCGGGCAGGGGGCTGGACCTGATGATTTTACGAGGCCCCTTCCAGCCCTAACGTCTGTGAAATCTATGAGTTGGGCACTCGCAGCTGGAAACGCCATAGCTGGGCAGAAGACTTGACCTTTTCTTCCAGGTGAATGAACAGTTCTGAGCTGTGGCTAAAAACCTGAGAGCACGGACTGGCCGCTCCATCCAGCCTTTTAAAAGTACCGATCTCTTGGCTCTGGTCTGCCCACGTTCTCTCATGTTTGATAATGGACAAGCATGACTGATGGCTTTTAAATACCTGTAATCCCTATTCTGAAAGTTAGGCGCGTGTCTAACTGTTGGCAGGCTTGATACAGACAGCCACCTTATTCAGTGGTATGTTAGCCAAGTAATTGTGTTTTTTTTTTTAGAGGATCGCAGTAAGGAGGGGAGAAAAGTATTTGCTCTTGCGAAGTGGGTGCAACGAACTGCAAAATGCAAACAATAAGAATGAGTCTGATTTGTAGTCTGTGGGCTTGACAGGAGCAGTGTTGGGAAAACATGGTGTAGTGAGGGAGACAATGTTTCCCCTAGTTAGAAAGAGCACTTGGAATCAGAATTGTTGCCATCAATTCTGTGCCCTTGGGTTGTTTTAATGCTTTTGTCCGTTTCCATTTCCTGATTTTTGAGACGGCGAATTTACCCTGCATGCGTTACTGATGGCAAAATGTTTTGAGAGCCAGGGACAGAAGGGTTGTGGCTGCTTAATGACATCTTCCAAATAGGAGACCTGGCCCATTCCAAACCTGCCTTTGTCAGATGTGCTGCTCTTGCAGAGTTTCTTTTGCTTCAAGAAAATCATGTTAACGCCCTCTTTTTAGCCAAAACTGTAGTGACCTTAATGACTCCTCTTTGCTCCTCCCCTTACCTCTCCTCTCTCCGCAGGCAAACTGGTGGGAAGGTTCTATGATGAGAACGGGGCACCCACAGAGGCTCTGAAACAAGCGGAGGCCCTCATTGAAGAAGGCTTGAAGCTTAAGGCACAAAGTGAAGAGGAGAACCGACAGTTTCCACCTTGCAACTCTGAATGGAGCTCAAGTGGTGGCACCAGATTCTGGTGTTCCAAACAAAGGTGAATCTGGTCTTCCTCCTTGTTTTAGACTGTGTAGAGCAAAATACCTCTGAACATCCCATCTCATCTGACCTGTGCTGGGTAAGAAACTGATGATGGCTGCAGCACAGATACAGTAGAGTGAGCTTCTGCTGAGGTAACAGGTGATCATTTAGTATTTGTGGATGCCCATGATTTAACTACTTCACCTGTTATCCCTGTCTTAGAAATGAGACAACCTTGTAAATAATATCTGGCTCTCAGTGTGTTGCCAGACCTGACTAGCTGGCGTAGTATGGTGAGCTTGCTTAGTTGCTCTGGCAAGCCTGGCTTGAATGGAATGGTTCAGAAGTGAGTCAGCATTGACATAGACTGCAAAATGTTATCTTCAGAAACCACAAATGCTGGTTAAGAACCTGCAACAAGGCATATGAGCAGCTGCTTCTGCTAACCGGTGTGGGACGTGTGCGTGTATTGTACCTACACAGACAGCTATTCCCACACAGATATCAGATGCTATGTAAACTCAAACCAGTCCCAAAGATCAGAGGGAGGCACTGCATTAAATGAATGGGACCGTATTCCAGCTGCTTTACCAATATAGTGAATGTCAGTTGGAATCTGCGTCTCGGAAAATTCCCTTTGAAGCCAATGGGGTTGCAATGCAGCCAGTGTGCCTTATATCCTAACAACATGCCTCTCGTTACAGGAACATGTACACAGCTTTTAAAAGCCGTACTTCAGTTACAAATGTTGGCTACAAATGTCCAACTCGGGATCCTTAAAATTCGGGTTTATTAGGCAGATTGAAACACTGCAATGAAATCAAATCATAAGCCTTGGGGCTGCATACACGCACACACGCGCGCACACACACACACGAGTCGGGTATACCTATTCCATAGGCGCTGGAGTCTGCCATCGATGGCAAGTCGAGGCTTCTTCCAGCGTGGTATTATCCTCCAGAAGGGGGTCGCTGGCTGGTCCTTCTGGCTGGACAGGTCAGGTGCTGGTCAAGTTGGAGATCAAGAGGGTGCTGGTGAGGGTCACTCTTCACTGCTTTTTATCTGTCCTTGGCAGATTTTGGTGACCCCAGTTTTCAGGTTTGCCCAATCCAGGGGTCGTTGACCCTCGTGGGACTTCCCCCTCGGTGGCTACTGGTTGGCATCTGTCAGCCCCAGGGGTCATCCGCGTGTACGTGCAGGTTTGGGAGTCTGTCGACAAATTTTGAATAGGGCTCTGGGAGCGGTCAATCTGGAGATATTCAGTCCCAAAAGTTGGTCCCCAGTGTTGATTAACTCGGACCGGGGCTTCTAGCCCTCGAACAGTGAAGTTTAGAGAATTCCCGGTTGTTACACTGTCTCCTATTGATTTCTTCCCTTGGTTGATCTGCGGTTTCCCTAGGTGTTAATTGTTGCCTGCTACTGTGTTACACATTCAATCACTGATTCACTTGCTCTTTCAGGGGCCTGCCTGATACAGGGAAGGGGCAGTTTGATTCCTGCCCTTGTTAACATTGTTACAACGTATAACTTACTTTTGAAACTAAACACATTTAGTTAAAAGGTGAAGAGTATAGAATATAAGCTCCAAGAGTAATGCCATGGCACACAAATAGATAAAAATACCAAAATACAAGGGGAGATACAAAATGCACACATACAAACTTTAAACCACAATTCCTTATCTTATAGTGAAAGAAAGAGGAAGGAAGAAAAGGCAGAAGAGGAGAAATATATCCAAAGAGGGGAAAGCAAATGCAGAGGAAAAGGGGCCTTTCTGCTACACAAAAACAAAGCAATACACCCAGAAAAATGGTGCCAGTGCCCTCAGGGTCATGATCCAATGGGGCACTAAAACGTACTTTCAGCATGACTAGTGACATTGATTTCAGTGGAACTGCTTGCATGCCTGAAAGATAAGCATGTGTGAGGGTGTGGCTGGGCTGAGGTCCATAGTGCTGCCCTTTGGGTACATTGTCTGGGACCTTGTTTTGCGTAATATTCAATACCTTTGGCATCTAGTATAAAAAAAAGAAACACACCAGCAGTAAGGGAATTGAGTCTAACGTTGCTGCTGCAAGATGCCCAATAAGATGCAGTACAGTAATGGGAGAGGGAGTCAGTTTAAAATGTCTCTTTTTCACGTAGAGTTGCTACTGTAGAGCAAAGTATATATAAAAGTTGTTCTTGGTCACAAAGCATTGGGGTGGAGGAAGTAATTGTCAGGACAAAAAAACATGCAGTCCAGAGACTTTTAAATAAGCAAATTGCTCTCAGAAGGGCATGAGGATAGTGAAACTGGTTTGAAAAGCTCTAGGCAACAAGCTACTGCTTGTTAAGCCGCTCACTGTGGCCAAATAAAACTGCACCAGGAAGTTCCTGGCTCTTGCTTACACAGGAGCTGGTCTCTGTTTCAGGCTCCAGCTTTCCCATAACTGACCCCAATCTCTTTTCTCTGAAGCACAGTATCTAATTGTATAGTTCTCTGTAGGTTGGAAAACACTTCCACTAGGGGTTCTCAGTTCAATTAACTGTGTGAGAAATAAGCTGTTAATTGCATCTGATCTTTTTTAGTGGAGGAGTGAAGAGAGACTGGATTGGTGTACCGAGGAAGCTTTACAAGCCTGGATCCAGAGACAGTTGTTGTGTGTGTGTGCGAACTACTGGGCCTCCTTCTGGGCAACTGGATTACAGTGAGCATAAGGACAGAGGTGACTTGGACAATCCTCACTTGCAAGAATATGAAGGGTGCCATCCACTAGCAGACTGGTGTGCTCTAAGAGACTAAGTTAAAATAAGCTTTTTGGCCCCCAAAGTGAAATAAGTTTGACAGGGCTAAGGGCACAAAAAGCACTTTTTCATTTCATTGCGGATTTTCTTGCACCTTAAAAACATGGATCAGGAACCAGTTTGTATAAGCATGTGTAAATAAATGAAAGAACCACACTGTACAGGGTGTATGAAAGAAAAATATATGGTGAAAGAGGAAGACTCCTACTTCCATATTTGTTTCAACATTGTTTCTCACTCTTTGGAAGCAAATGTTAGGAGTTGGCCATCTAATCCGTATTTAGAAATGGTTACTCTTGGTTATGCAAGGAAAAACAGAAGTGTGGAACTGTAGCTACGGAAGGACTGTGCTGCATTCAAAGGAATGAACCAGCACATCAGTACACTGGGCACTCATTTAACTTACAGAAACATGCACATGAAACTCCTCCCCACTACCTCCAAAGCAGGAGTTTTGCAGTAGAATCATTTGCAGTGCTCGTTTGCATTGTCAGCGGCACCATCACCTCCGTGGCTCAGGACAACACATTTTGTATGGGAGGTCTCTTTCACAAACATGCTATTTGGCATCCAATGTCCTGTGCAGTTATAGAAAAGCAGTGCTTATCAAATGCAGAAGGTACACTGGGTGAGGCCTTATTTGCATTGCTTCTTTAGTGTTTGCACTGCAGGCTAAATAAGAGAAATGTTGCAGAGCAGTTTAAAGTTCGTGTGACTTAAGCCAACCTCACAACCCCATGGCACTGCTCGCTTCAGCTAGACCACAAAAGTAAGCCACAGACAAGCAAGGTAATTGTACTGCTATAATATCTTTTTTTCATTACCCCTACTTATGGCATCATGTTTGTAAGTAGATGGGGACCCTCAGTCACAATTCCCACCCTGTGTCCAGTGCAGTTGTGGGTTTGAGGCATTACTTTTGCTTAGTTCAATAACTTAATTGATTGTCAAAGATACTAGCACAGATGATGCTGTTTCTATGCAAGACTCAAGTGCTAGGCAGTTACAAACGCACATCTTTAGATAGTGAAGCCAGCATACATACTTGTTGCAGCTGCAATTTCAAAACAAACCTACTTTACTTCCAGCCCAGCCATTACCTAGCTGGTTGGGTGGAGCAGTCTCCATGGGATCAATTCTCCTAAAGTGTGATGTATTTACTACCCTGTCCTGCAGTCTGTACAGACAGGAACAAGGGGTGTTTATACACATGCTTGTGGGGAGGGAGGGAGGGAGGGCAGCGCTTTAATTAGAGTGGTTTTGAAAGCTGCTCTAAGTAAAGCACTTGGAACCTCACATAGCAGTGTCCCCACTGAAAAATGGCGATGGGGGTGCTTTAGCTATAGCTTGTTGAACAAGCTTTAGTTAAAATGCTCCTGCTGCCATTTTTCAGCACAGGGACACTAATACATGTGATACTGGAGTGCAGTAATTGCCATGCTCCGAGTCTGCTCTGATGTGTTGTGATGAACTGCCTTGCTGTATGGGTATAGGTGCCCAAGGAGACCAACTGCTGGCAGTTTACAGAGCTAGGCTCTACCATGTACTTAGTGCTGGGGTGTCAAACTTGCCTCCAGCTATGGGCCAGATCTGGACCACAAGACTGCATGCATGCTGGATCCAGCCCAGGGCACAAGATAGTCCCAGTATCTTTAGCTCCCATTGTTTGCCGGTGCCCCATGCTGGAGCTGGAGCTGGAGCTAGAGCTGCTGCCACTGATGCTTTTGTGCCATGGCTGCTGGCATGGGGCACAAGGTGCATGCTCCACCTCTGGCACAGGATGCACAGCAGCAGCATGAAGCACAGGGTATATAGTGGTGCTGGTACGGACCACAGGGCATGCTGTGGTGATGGTTCAGGTGCAGAGCACGTGGCAGATGGGACTGTTAGCCAAAGAACTGGAGCTGCAGTAATGGCAATGGCTGAGGCAATTGGAGGGTGGCTGGGGCTATGCGAGCCCTCCCTTGTCCTGCCACTGGTGACAATACCTGCCATGGCCCAAGGGCCTTCAGTTCTGAGACAAGCCACTCACCCTGGCCATGCTACCCCCTTACCTCCAACATCCAGTGGCCTGCTAGTAGCCTGGATTTTGTCTGTAGGTCATGTTTGACACCTTTGACTTAATGGAATTCACATTTCACCTTCTCCCTCTCAACTTAGAAAAGAAAGAAATAATTCCTTTGTCAGTGATTCAACTGAGGAGGGAGGGGGTGTGCAGTGGCCTGTGAGATCTTTTTAAGAGTGCTGCACAGTATTAGCAAACACCATGTTAGGTGTGCAAATGCCCACACCTAATTTGCAAGATGAACACTTTGTGCCACTACTGTGTGTCCCTGGGGAACACCTGTGCCATGTACCTTCTGGTGCACAGCAGATTACCCCAGATGGGGTAGGGGAGGCTGGGGCCGGTAACTGTTGGCTCCAGGAGCCTGTCCTTGGGGCTGGGGAAGTTGCAGCCGCATCACTGCTGGAGGTGGGAGTCTGCCAGCAGCCAGTGCGGCTCTGGTTTTGGGCAGTGCGCACTGCCTCCATGTGTGCCACCTTGCTTTTTTTTCCCTGTGCATTTTTTTTAGACCCCAGGAGCTCCCTGGGTTCAAAATCCACCTGCTGCACTGCAAGGTAGCAGCATAGGAACATGGAGATGGGTCTACAGTGCCACATACTGCACAGCTATGCTCAGCTAGATGTGGCCAGTGTCAAAAACATTCTGACTTTGTGTGGGCCTGCAGAGTTTTTTGCATCAGAAGAATTGCTCTATTATTTTCCCCCATAAATCAAGAAAGGAGTGATATTAGGTTTTAAAGTGATATGCTGCTAGATTTGGAAGTTACAGGAACATACGTTGAGGCTAAAGAAATGTTGAGTTACACTGTCCTAGGTAGTAGAAACTAAATAAATTAAATAGTGAAGAAATCTTTCAGAAGTGAGATTGAAATAAGTGTCTGATCATTACCTTCATAGACAAAGCTAGCCCTTTTATTATAGTGTTGCAGGATACGGACATTTTGTTTTCTTGATCTCTTCCTCTGCCTTCCTGTTGCTCTTGCACCTGGGAAGTCTGCTAAAAGACTAAATCAACATGTCATTTTTTTAAAACCAAGTCTGAGCTAGAAAACACACCGTCTCTTCCTCCTGCTTGTACAAGAATCAAATTGTTGTGCTGAAGATGAAATCAATGTCCTTGTGGCTCAGGCTGTAACCTGCCACCACTGTGCAGTATCTCCACCCAGTCACGAACTCAGCTCAGTGACCTGGAGCAGCCCAAACTCATTGAAACTTAGGATTGGATGAATCAAACTTGAAAAGCAAGGAGGAGACATTAAAAGCACTGGAGGTTTAACATCAAGCCTTGTAGCGCTTGCTGGCAGTGAGAGAAAATGCTTTTTCTCACTGCAATAACTTGCAAAGTGCCACAACCAGCCTGTGTAACAGCAGCTTTTCTTTTCTAAAAAGCTTGCACCTAGCTCTTTGCTCAAGGCAGAGGAGCTGGTTCTGGCACTGGGGAGTAAGACAAGAGAGTGCAAGACTGGAACTCAATCGTTCAAAAGGCCAGTTAAGACCAGCCTATTAATGTTCACTTTAGATATTTATTTACAGCAAACAGTAACATGTTTGCATTAAATGGGCTAGGCCAAGTCCTGGCCTAGCCAAACATTTGAATTGCAGCATGTAAGAAAGTTTACATGATCCTGGCTGGGAAAGCAGTACTCTGTAGCTGAGGGCTCCAGTGAAGTTTCCAACCATGTTTGCAAGGTAAGGAAGACTTGGGAGGGGGTGGGAAAGACATGCACACCTCCCCTCCTTTTACCCTGCACCAGTTGCCAGGACAGCAGGCAATTCTGATGCTTTGCTGCATATACAACTACTCAATGCTAAACAAACCTTCTATGACATTCAGAAATGTCAGTATTTATCGGAACCGGCATGATATACCAAATTACTTTTGGCTAGTTTTACACAACTCTAGAGCCTCCCTTTATGCAAGGCATTCTTGAATATGCTCATATGACCATCCCTATTATAGCAGTGACCTTGCATTCTATTTGCAATTTCTTTCAGTGAACTCTCAACTCATATATAGGGCAGCTGAAGCAAAAATGACATCTGAGGCAGGGGTGGGAAAGGGACAAGTAAAAAGAAGAAATTCAGACTGACCAGACTAGGACAGAATAGGAAAGTTGGCATCAAGCCTGCATCAGACCAATTACAAACGAGCAGTTAAGATTAGTACAACATACACCTAGAATAGGAGTAGTTGTAATAACCCTATCTTACAGGTATGAAACAGTTCATCTTGAACTGTGATTAATTAGGTCTTACTCTCAACTCCTGTAAGGGAAGTTTTTCTTCCAACTTCCAAGTACACAAAGACAAGACTTTTCTGGCTGTACTAGTCATTTCTTGTGCCAGAGAAGCAACTGCTATAAAATGGGATGTTTACAGTCCATGATCCAGATCCATTATCTTGTTATGCAGAGTTTATTACAAGGAATTGTTACACAATGAAATAATTAATATTAGGGGAAGAAAAAGATACATTCTTTTTACAATGGACTCCAGACAAACAAACAATGCCATTAAAAATACCATTGCTTTAAGACTTGACTAGTTCACAGAAGGTATGACAAGTTTCAGAGTTCTGCTTTCAGCTATCCATAGGCTTTCCAATGACCCCATCTTTCACATTTCAATAAAACCAGGTAAGTGAAAATGTCTAATATCTAACCCTGCCATGAACCTGATGTCAGGGAAATTCATCCAAGGATTTGTCAACTACTGCATTCGGTCTACAAGACACCCTGTATTATGAACAGAGATTTAGAGTACATAGGCTACATAAAAAAAGGAAATTGTACAAGTCATTGGTCATCTGTATGACAGCTTTTAGGAAGCTACTTAGTGATGCTGTATTAGTACCGTTTTAAACACCAAACATTTCTACTATGCTTAGTAGTGTGAAACAGTGCCAGGTTTCCTTTCCCGCAAACTTTAAATATCCAAAGACAAGCTCAAAAATGTAGTCCATTTTGTGCTGGGCATCTCTTCTGGAAACGGAGTTCCTCTGTTTATCCACGAACAAGCAGCTGCAGCACAAGCTTTTCCCAGCCATTTTGCTGGTGGTTCTGAGCCCATTTCACAGGACTGAAATCCTTTCTTGCCTCAAAAGCAGTCTCCAGGGTCACTCAGTCCAGCCTGCGACTATCCAAGGACAGCAAAAATAGTTTGGTCACAATGTTGTTTGCCAGATACGAGAAGTGCATTTGTTTTCAAAAAACTAGAAATGTGTTGACAAAAAAAAAAAAAAAAAAAGGCTGTCCCAGAGCTTCCAGTTCACTAGAGTATTAGCAGGGAACCTCCCATTCATACTTGGAAGTCCAAGGGAAACACCACCACCACCCAGATACTCAGTGGATTGTGTCGAAAGGAACAGGGACTCAAGTTTTCCCTCATGGGAGGGGGAAAAAAAAACTGCTCCCTCATTCTAAACAGAAGGCAGCAGACACGAGTGGATTTCAGTTGTGCAATACAGGAAACCAAGAGGCTAAGTTATTGGGTTTCATAGTTAAATTGTGTGGTTTTTAATCCCAGCAGAAAGCATAGTCCATTACAAACTGACTGCCATGAAACAGTCTCACAAGAAAAAGGCACTTCATTTATCAATTTTGTTGAAATGTACTGTGAATTCAGTCTGCAGAACCCAACGTGTGTATATTACAGGGCTAGTTATAGCCAAGCTTTCCCTTAAGCTCGAGGAGCAGATAGTCTATTACAAAACCAGTATTGCTAGAATCTTAGGAGTTATGCAGTATTTGCCAGCAGACTATCCATTTGTTTTAAAAACAGAAAAATCAACAATTTCTATGCCACTCAGTTAGTAGGAGCAGGGAGGCGGTGGTATGAGGTGGAACCTACTGCAGGTCTCGGATGCTCCAGTTGTTACAAAACCTGAGCAATACTGGTCTCAGCAGCTTAAGGAACTGATTAGAATGGCAGGGGTCAAGCAGCTTGTTTCTATCGCTCAGCAACTCCACTGGTGGTTGGTTTAAATGCTTTTAGTTAAAAAGCTTTCCATGAAATTTAACGCAATCCATGTTAGAGATCACTGCAGTTCCCGAAATAACAATCCCTCCAGTGCTGCATTTAAATTCCTTGGCCACTAATTTCTCTGCTTGACAGTTTGGGGGGTTTTTTGTTTTGTTTTTAGGAGGGGATCAAACTAAACAAGTTACACACTATTCCTGGATCAAGTTAGTCAACTGGTCTAAACCAACCATTTGACAAGACAGTGGAATTTACACTGTTTTTGTCAAACTGAATTGTGACATTTAAAGACCATCATAAACCATATGAAACTATTCTTATATTTCCCATCAGTTCTGGTCATCCAAAATGCACACAAAAAGCTGTACTTTTCTGTCAAATGCATTTATGCCCTTCCTCTCAACTCTTAGAACAAGCCTGCTGCAGGTTGAGAGTTGCACAGAAACTAAGATTTACATTAGAGGCATCACTTAGTGAGCTCTGCTGGAAGGAGATTGTAACTGGCATTAACACTAATCATATCATAATTGCATTAGAGAGTTAGTCTATTATTCCACCCTAGTGTTACCAGGTTCAGGGTTCCAGTTTTTGCACCTACATGTTGGAAGACCAAGCAATTTACTGAAACTCTTATGACAATACATTAACAGCAGCCTTGACAAGGTCTTCCAAAACCTTTTTACTGCACCAGCCCAAGGTTTCCCACCCACCCCCCAGCCCAAAGTAAACATATCCTGTAAGTCACAGAAATGTAGAAGAGTAGCACTCTGGTTTATCAGCTCATTTTACATCTTAGGTAAGTCTTGCACTGCCGTGTCACTATTCTAGACCACGCAACCGAAATGAACTATTTTCTCCCAAAAACGTACTTGTGTACATGAGTAGTGGTTAGTGAAAAAGAATAAATATGTACACAAGTTGTCCATGGAGCAGAGATTAGGAAATGTTGGGTGTTACTCTCTCCCTCCTAGGGTTAAAACTTAAACAAGGTAAGATTTTGTTCTTAAGCACACATTTTCTTTAGCATGTCTGTAATATTGGCCTACAAATACTACAGCCAATTTAAAAAAAAAAAAAAAAAAAATCTGGGCAAGTGCTTACTAGCACCCAAGTAATTTACAGACTACTTTGAAGAGAAACTGTCATCCCCCCCTGCACCCTGCCCCTAGATTCAACCTGTTTAAGGAGTGGCCACAGCCAAGCCCAGAAGAAAAGCTTGCTGCAGTTTGAGACAAAAGGCCAATTAACAACGCAGATCAATCTCCTTTCAAAATTAGTGGCAAAGATCTAACAGTGAACCTTCAAGCACTGCCAACAACAAACCCCCTCCGCTTGAATTTGAGACCTTGATTGGACATCTAGCAGGGCAGCAGCATGTTCTTTCTTGGCCAGCGTGTTGGCTCTCCCCTACACCAGGTCTCAAAGAAAGAAAAGGCATTCAGGTAACTTGTCTGCCTTACAGGATTCATAATTGCACCTCCAGCACTATATTGCTCTTCAGCAAGTTAGGACTATGCAATCTGCGTTAGTGTTTCCTCGTTTAGTGTAAGCTTAGGTCTTCTCAGAGCACTTGAGTTTTTGTACAAAAAAGTGTGGGTGTGTGGGAGGCAGGCCCTGCAACACAAGTATGAAAGTGCAACACAAGCAGACTGACAAATCTGGTAGGCATGAGCAGAAGTAAAGACTGCAGTTCTCTTGAACATGCTAAAGCTAATGAGACCATTACTAAGGGGAGGTATCAATGTGGAACTATAATCCTGACTGCTTTGCATCATGGAGATGTTGTAAAGCTTTCTATTGTAAGGCCACAATTCTTGAGTTATGAATGAAGTTAAACCCTGCTTGAAAACTAGCCTTGAAATGAGTAGTGGTTGTAACAGCACAGTCCAGCTTTATAAAAAAAAGCTTTCTATACAGAAAGAGGGAGCCTTTATCTTTGTGAAGACAATGCAAAAGGGAACAGTTACCATTTACCCTGAAGTTCAGTGCCATCTCCATCACAGCCTAGAAGTGGCAGGACCTAAGGGAGTAGCTCAGTGCAATGCACCATGGTTAAGCACAGGCCTGTTTTGGTTATTTGGATCAGTACAGGACACCAGGCTAATGTGGCTTTAAGTTCCATACCCCACTGCAACTAGAAGAGGGTCCCACTCAATTTTGTTGATCACTTAGGGGTGAGCAATCCACTCCACTTCCTAGTGACATCCATCACAGCCCAATACATTTACAATCATACAAAAATCATTTATATTGGAATATATCATAACATGGTCCTTAATTAGTTCAGTCTATTGCAGAAGACAGACATGTATATAGGCCTCCCCTCCCTGTTGGTACAGCTTGTTGGCAGAGCTGCTGTCAGAAGAGGGCTGATGGGGAATCCTCTTCCTTGCACAGCATACTAAGAGACTCCTCCCAGAGTCAAGACATCAAAGCAGATGTTGCAAACTCGAACAGGCTTGTTCAAATCAAATTTTATGATGGGAATTTCCTTCGTGGAGCATTTATGGCAAAGCAGACGTCCACAGTGCCGGCTGTTGCAGGGAGAAAAACAAACAGAGGAAGGTGTTCATTGACATAATACCCCAGATCCTTGAGGACCCTGTTAGCACTGTACGAGTACCTAGGGCAAACAAAACACTTGCTGCAGAGAGATGTGTGAGACAGCTATACTTCTCATTAGTGGCCAATGTTTTAAAAGAGAATCTGGTACTTTCAGGACAGCATTTCTCAACCCGTGGGTCACAAGAATATATGAAATGGTCACAAACAAAGTTTAAAAGTGGATTCTTCCTTAAAATGGAGGGAAAAAAAAGAGAGAAACCATTGCTTTTTATTTGCAGGCTGTCAGAGTTCTAGCATGCAAGGGGCTGCTTGCCCCCCCCCAGCTACAGGTCTGGGGCAGCAGGTTAGGAGTGAGGGGCACTGGGTCAGGACTGGCCAACTTTTACAAACAGGTCCTGGTACAAAGATGGTTGAGAACCACTGCATGTAGGACACTAGGTGCTTTTGTTATAGTTTGTGCCACAACCCACCAGTAGTTATGTAAAGGTCTTCTTGCCAAGACATGTCACAATTCAGTTAACACCAACTCTCCCCATAGCCAACATACTGCTTTAGGATCCAATTCCCTCTAGTAAAACTAATCAGCTTAAAAGGTCTACCTTTGAAACAGGCACTCTAGCCTCTTCAGCTGGAAAAAGATATCCAGGGTTTAAGGAATTAAGCTACTTGACATGACCTTACTAACTGGAAGCAATCACAGATATTGAGCCTTTAACTTGAAAAGGCATCCCAGTAATCCCTCCCAGAAAGAAACTGTTGGATTTACAAGTTAAATATTTGTGCTTCAAAAAGCCTGGCTGCTTGGCCCAGTCAGCCCATAATTAGAGGCATAGCAGCCTTGACTGACTGATGACAGTAAACTCAGGTTCATAGATGTTAGGGTCGGAAGGGACCTCAGTAGATCGAGTCCGACCCCCTGCATAGGCAGGGAAGAGTGCTGGGTCTAGATGACCCCAGCTAGATGCCTATCTAACCTCCTCTTGAAGACCCCCAGGGTAGGGGAGAGCACCACCTTCCATGGGAGCCCATTTCAAATTTTGGCCACTAACTGAAGAAGTTCCTCCTAATGTCCTGTCTAACTCTGCTCTCTGCTAGCTTATGGCCATTATTTCTTGTGACCTCCAGAGGCACCTTGGTGAGTAAAGCCTCACCAGTTCCCTTCTGTGCCCCCATGAACTTATAGGCAGCCACAAGGTCGCCTCTCAACCTTCTCTTGCGGAGGCTAAAGAGGTCCAGGTGCCCTAGTCTCTCCTCGTAGGGCTTGGCCTGCAAGCCCTTAACCATATGAGTGGCCCTTCTCTGGACCCTCTCTAGGTTATCCACATCCCTCTTGAAGTGCGGCTCCCAAAACTGGACGCAGTATTCCAACTGCGGTCTGACCAGCGCCCGATAGAGGGGAAGTATCACCTCCTTGGATCTGTTTGTCATGCATCTGCTGATGCACGATAAAGTGCCATTAGCTTTGCTGATGACTTCGTCACACTGACGACTCATGTTCATCTTGGAGTCCACTAGGACTCCAAGATCCCTTTCTACTTCCATGCTGCCGAGCAGGTCATTTCCTAGCCAGTAGGTATGCTGGACATTTTTCCTCCCTAGGAAGCTTTGCATTTCTCCTTGTTAAATTGCATTCTATTGTTTTCTGCCCATTTGTCCAACCTGCCCAGGTCTGCCTGTAGTTGTTCCATGCCCTCCGGTGTGTCCACTTCTCCCCAGTTTTGTATCATCCGCAAACTTGGACAGAGTACACTTCACTCCCTTGTCCAAGTCACTGATGAAGACTTTGAAGAGTATCGGTCCAAGGACCGAGCCCTGCGGGACCCCACTGTCCACATCCTTCCAGGTCGATACCGACCCGTACACCACCACTCTCTGGGTACGACCCTCTAGCCAATTTGCCACCCACCGGACTGTGTAATCATTCAAGTCACAGCCTCTTAATTTGTTCACCAGTATGGGGTGGGATACCATGCTGAAGGCCTTCCTGAAGTCTAACCCCTTCCCTTGAACAGGATGCTGGGCAGATTACTGTAGGGCTCGCAGACCTCCACCTGACCCAGATTTTTTTAGGCCAACATCACGTTGCTGTAAGGTGACAGTGTCTACACCAGTGGTCCCTAACCTTTTTTTTGCTGCGACCCTAAGTTGGCCAACCTCCTGACCTGGTGCCACAGGGGCTGCTGGGAGCGGAGTGTGGCAGCACTGGCTCGGGGGCAGGGGAGCTGCCATTGCCCCTTTTGTACACAGCAGCCCCACAAGCATGTGTGCACACCTTTCGCAACCCTACTGAAGACCCTCCACGACCCTGATTTTAGTTCCCAGCCTTGGGGCACGACCCATGATCTACACAAAGCTGTGCTATGCTATTGTGGGTATACCCACATTTTAAAAATTACTTCCCATGTTACCAGGAACATAGCCTGAGCTATTGGACTGCAATGGCTGTCATTTCTCTTCCCCATTTTAGCTTGTCAGGTCTGCCAATGCCAGTAGCCAGTGCACTCCAAATACAACATGCTCCAAACACTGTAAAAGAGGTGGCTGCTCATTGGGATGAGGAGCTCCTAAGCAGTCTCTCACCTTCCAACAGTAGGTAGTCTACCCTCCAGCAGCCTGTCACTCAGATGGTAGCCTGCACACTAAAAAGGCATTTCAGCCAGGCTAGGGGTAAAAAAAAGTCTATGCTACTTAACAATGGAAATAAGACAAGGCAACATGCTTTGTCCTTCAAACAAAAGAATGCTCAATTCCAAACTCCGTTTCTTCCAGGATAAGCTACCTTGGCTTAAGCCAGTGTTTCCCAACCTTTTCCAGCCCAAGGCACACTTATGTTAATAAAAAATTCTGTGACACCTGTTAAGGCATTCCCCATCATCATACCTATCGTAGCTCATTACCATGGCAAAATGTCATGGCATACCTGTTCATTTCTGACAGCACACTTGTGCCGCAGCACACTGGTTGGGAAACACTGGTTTAAGCTAGGTTTACAAGGTTAGTAGGATGCTGAAGCAGGTTACCAGTGATGCTTCCTTGTCGTGACCCCAAACTTGGCAGTGCATTCGTAGCAGTTGGAGCCATCACACCAGGGAGGTTCTTTTGTCAGCATGTCTGTAAACAAAACAGAAGTCAATCCTGTCCCAAAGACTTGCACAGGTTGCATTAAGAGGCTTTCTCCTCAAGGGAGCCTTTTTACATCAATTACTGAAAATGTTCACCTTGCCCCCGTATTAAGTTATCACCACTGGTTACATGGACTCAGTTGTCCAGGCCCTACAGCTTCCTTCATGTTATACATGGACTACTTGGTACCAAAAGCTACAAGACCGATATTCAACACCTTAAATTTCAATATAGAAGCTTTAAAAAAAAGCCCAAAGCAGACAAGAGCAGACACATTCACTGCAATATTAGCAACAAAAAGCAAAAAACACCTTTTTAGCTTTTTGGTGCTGTTTAAGAGATCTTTTCCAAAGAAAAGATCAGGTAAAGAGGTAATGAACATCTACAAATCCCACAGTAGTATCTGGCTGCATTCAGCAAGTTCAGCTCATCTTAAAAATCAGGACCCTTATTTTAGATAATTTGCAATAGGTGTTCCTCCTCCTCTTAACACTAAAGTTTTGTACCTTACATAGGATACTTACCCAGGAGTCTAAATAGAAGCTGTTTTGTAGCAACTTGGTAGTTGAAGATATTGACTCCTTGATTATTGTTAACTCCGAGACGAGCCCCAGCTCTCACTATAGCGCGGCATAGGTTAGCATTTCCCTTCATATAGGCCAGCAGAAGCACTAGAAAGCAAAGGCAGTTATTTCCATACCGGTACAGGCCACAGCTCTCCCACAGAGACACTGTACTGCTAGACAACGTTCAACAGGTTTAGTTTGTCATCAACTCTGCAGATGACAATTTGCATCTGCAGTTTCAGCAGCGAGTGCCAACTGGTCATGCTTTCCTCAGTTCAGTTTAAAGCAAAAAGTTCAAATACAACAGTTGCCAAGTTCTCTTTACCTGTGTTTCCTTCAGCATCGGGTTTGTCTAGAGGGTATTCTGGCATACATTCCAAGAAGAGCTCACAGATGGCTGCTGCATTATCTTTCCCATACTGTCCCAGAATGTGCATCGGTGACTGACCTCTGACACAAGACAAGACACCCAAATGCTACAACACATCTATTACACCATGCAGCCCACGATCTGTTTAACCATGGTTATTTATCCCAGCCAGCTTCTGCACAAAAAAGCAGCAAGGCAACCAAAGTTGGTTTTGTTTTCTCAAATTAGTAATCTAGTTCAAAACACTTGGTTTTAGTTAACTTTTGACAAGAGTGGGAAGGTCAAATGCCTTTTCAGAAATTAAGTTGTGCTTCATTAAAAACCTGAACATGCTTAAAGCTGTAAAAATGCAGGTGGCAGTTTCCAAGATAGATCTATAGAATTAGCAATGGTTTTAATAACCCTTATAATGCTAAGACTGGTGAAGAGTTGCTTTTGACTAATTACAGTCTCATTCACATAGATGACTCCTTAGTATGGAAGTTGAACTACTCACCTGAGATTAAAGGCTTCTGCATCCACGTTGCATTCTGTCAGAAGGACACGAATATTATTCAGACGACCATGCATCACTGCGAGATGCAGAGCTGGGGAAGGGAGACAAACTCAAGATTCAACGGGTTTTGCAGGCTTTCCCATTCCTGCCATCCCAACATAGCTAGCTAAAATTGTGTACTCCCCTCCACGCCCCCCCCCCCGACACTTCAGCTGGGGCTTCCTCTCAACCTTTTCATATCTTTGAAACATCCAGGATGCACTCAGCAGCTGAGCTCCACAACTTGGAGAGTAAAAACTGGATTGCTGGAATGGCAGTGATGTAAACAGTGGATATATTTTGCACAACCATAAACACTTACCATTATTTCCATTTTCATCTACAGCTGCGAAGTCTACGCCATTCTCAAGAAGGACAGAACAAATTGTGGGAAGGTCCTGCTGAGCTGCTAAATGGAGAGCAGTCTGACGGTGTTTGGTCAGCTCATTCACTTTTGCTCCTGCAAGAAGCTGTGAGAAGATGCAAGAATCTTGATACAGAAACTTCAGAATCTTCACAAAATACTTCAAGTTGTTGGGGTTTTTTGTGCATTTCAGCCTATGATTCAGGTTTGTTTCATTTAAAAACCCGTAACTCCTTCTAGGTCTAGGGCAAGTATGCAGATTGCTGGACTCTGGCATAAACCTTATCAAATCTATCTCTATCTGCAGTTCAAAGCTCTAGTCTGAGTAAGTCAGAATTACAATAGTTTCAAAACACTAAGCATCTCTGCCCGTGGAAGATCAGGAAGCATTCTGATAGTAAAAGGCTTAAAAGACTAGGTCTCCATTACATACCAGATTGCGCACAATGATTTCCGAGCCTGCCTGCACAGCTAGATGTAGAGGTGTCAGTTTGGAGGCATCCTGGACCCGAGAGTTTACATTGGCCTGGACACTGATTAGGAAGAGCACACTCTCAATGTCAGAGTTCTGAACAGCTATGTGGAGGAAGTTTCGACCTTTATTATCCACCTGCAAAGGACATGCAAAGAAATCTTGTGAGGTTATCCATACATAAAACATCCTTACTGCTCTGGTCTCAGCGTTGCTTACAAGATAGTATTCTTACTCCTTCACTGTAACCTATAGACTATTAGAAAGGAAGGGGGAAACTGATGCAGTCTAGCCAGCATCCAGCCAACAAATCAAGTTGCCAACCTACATTGTTGATTGGATTTACTCGCCCTGCAGTAGCTCTATTTCCACACTATTTACATGCTTTATTTTCAAATTTTACCCTTCTACAGTCCGTCTTCTCATTTGACATTTTGATCAGAGGGATGTGTCATATTCAAGTAGTTGTTAGTTGTGTTATACACATTTAGCAAATGAGGTGGCAACCAAGCAGCTAGCACCGAGAACAGAGATACAAAACCACCAACACTAATGCAAGATGTGCTCCCATTTATTCTGTGGTTTAAGCTCAAGTGCATGGTGATGGTCATGTGCCTTAAAAGGCAGTGTTAAAACACTGGACAATTTAGAATTAAGCAAAATACAGCAGATGCAAAAGTTTAGACAGTGTCTGTAGTAACAGAGTTCACTAAAGATACCTAAATACTTCATATCTAACTTACATAAGGTAGCAGGAGACTCTTGAATTGATGCTGCCATCTCCCCACAAGAACCCTGAAGATACAGGTGGAGGTTTTCACTGCAGTGCTGGCTTACAATTAAGTGTAATGTTTACAGCAAAACCAAGAAACATCCCCCAAACTATCAGAATAGCAGAACATAACCAGAGGACCTTCCAGGCTCACACCATTTGTTAGAGACCCATAACAAGCCAGTTTACATCACTTGAAACTGTACCAATATCATACTTCCCCTTTTGCATCCATCTACCCTCAGCCAATTTAGTTCATTTAAGAGAAGAATGTAACTATATAGAGTACAAATTGCCATGTGGAGCAGCATACCATATATCATAGGCAGCCTGTGATTTTTCAGGGTGTCTTCTCATCATATTAGAAGAAAAGTATCCAGCGTGTTAAATATGTGAACTAAGCCATTTCCTGGTTTTCTGGGAAACCAGCTAACTATTACCTACCTTGGCATTTGGCACCACAGAATTTAGTGTATGCTCTTCCCATTTACCTGCTCAGCAGCTCCAGGCTCCCGCTTCAGGATTGCCTCGGCTGCCTTGTTATTCTTGTAGGTCATAGCACACGCAAACGGGGTCATGCCTTGTCGATCACGCACATTCAATCTAATATCTGGGTGTGAAATCATCAGCTGAATAATAACATCATGTTGGTTGCTAATGGCAACATGGATTGGAGTTCTTCCTTCTGCATCCTACAAGTGAAAGTCATGCTGTCAGATACAGAAGTTTGCCCACCACTGATATAGTTCAGATCTATTAGAGTTTATCCTAGATTAGCCCCAGTAGAAGACCTTTCACAGCCTCAACACAGAAGTTAAGTCTTTCCATATCCATAGTTGGTAGGGTCAGAAGGGACCTGAGCAGATCAAAGTGCGACCCCCTGCCATGGCACTGGGGTCAAACAACCCCGGCAAGGTGTTCATCCAGTCTCCTCTTAAAGACCCCCAAGGTAGGAGCCATCACCATTTTTCTTAGAAGTTGGTCCCAGATCCTAGCCGCCCTGACAGTGAAGTAGCGCCTCTTGATATCTAGCCAAAATCTACCTTCTGCCAGCTTGTGGCCGTTATTTCTTGTCACTCCTGGTAGTGCTCAGGGGAACAGAGACTCTCCCAGTGCCCGCTGGTCCCCCCACCCCCGACTAGTTTGTAACAGGCCACCAGATCTCCTCTCAGCCTTCTCTTGTGGATGCTGAACAGGTTCAGGTCCCTCAGCCTCTCCTCATAGGGCCTGCCCTGCTGCCCCTTGATCATGCGGGTGGCCCTCCTCTGGACCCTCCCCATGCTGTCCACATCCCTCCTGAAGTGCGGCACCCAGAACTGCACGCAGTACTCCAACTGCAGCCTGACCAGTGTCGCATAGAAGGGGAGGATCACCTCCTTGGACCGGCTCATGGATACATGACAAGGTACAGTTGGCTTTCCTGACCACGTCCCCACATTGGCAGCCCATGTTCATCTTGGAATCAATGACTCCAAGATCCTTTTCTGCCTCTGCACTGACAAGCAGCGAGTTCCCCAGCCTGAACGTCTGCTACTGGTTCTTCCTCCCCAGGTGCAGCACCTTGCGCTTGTCAGTGTTGAAACCCATCCTGTTCTCATCCGCCCACCCCTGTAGCTTGTCCAGGTCCAACAGCAGCCTATTCCTCCATTCTAGCATGCCCACTTCTCCCCACATCTTAGTGTCATCTACGAGTTTGAACAGGGTGCTTTTTACCCCCTCATCCAAGTTGCTGATGAAGATGTTGAACAGTGCAGGCCCAAGGACCGAGCCCTGCGGGACCCTACTGCCCACATCCCTCCAGGTCAAATAAGACCAGTCCACCACCACCACTACCCTCTAGGTGCAGCCCTTCAGCCAATTAGTGACCGACCTGACTGCGTAGGTATTCATAGATGTTAGGGTCGGAACGAACCCCAATAGATCGAGTCCGACCCCCTGCATAGGCAGGAAAGAGGGCTGGCTTTAGATGACCCCAGCTAGATGCATATCCAACCTCCTCTTGAAGACCCCCAGGGTAGGGGAGAGCACCACCTCCCTTGGGAGCCCATTCCAGACTTTGGCCACTAACTGTGAAGAAGTTCCTCCTAATGTCTAGTCTAAAGCCTGTACTGACTCCACAGGCTTTACTGTAGGCATCAACTGTAGGCTTTAGTCTAACTAGAGCGTAATACCTTTGGCCTACATGAAAGAAGCTAGTTCAAACCAGCATATCCATATCCTCAAATACTCCTTCCTTCCTCTTCCCCCTAGCTATATTTTGTGCATTTAAAAAAAATGCTGTGTTCAAAACAAGGCATTATTAGAAACAAAGGACTGAAGCAGGCCTCCTGACCACATCCCCCTCCCCCCAGGTAAGGCTTAGAGTTAATCTGTCCAAAATTGGATGTTCTGTATTCAGACAAGCACCTCACTACAGCCGCAAAAGCACCCAATAAATCCTGCATGCCACAGAAAATACAAAGACCCTGCTAAAGCCTTGGCCATTGCAATGGCAGGAAATATTAAGCAAGATATGCCTAAAGTCTCACCAAGTAGACTTATGGCACAAATTCCAGACTGTTCATAGTTAAACCAGGTTTTGTTGTGTTTTTTTGTTGTTGTTTTTTTTTTTTTTTTTTAAGCAAAAAAGATATTTACTGTTCATTAAAATCAGGGGTGGGGAAAATATGGCCTGTGGGCCGCATCCAGCCCACCAGGTCATTTTATCTGGTCTGTTGAACCCCTAAAGACTAATTTACTAACATTTTTGATTTGCCCCAGCTCCCTGTCAGAGCTGGCTGGAGCCAGGGGCAGTAGGACCTAGAGGGAGCCCTCAGCAGGCTTGAGCAGCCCAGCCCCACCTACCACCAGCCAGTTCCCTGTTTTCCTGCCACCCTGCTCCAGCACCAGGTGGCTGTGGCTGCATCCTCAGACCATGGAGCACAGGACCACACCAGCAGGGGTGTGCGCACGTGTGCCTGCAGGCACAGGGGCAGAGTCCCACATGCACATCCCTCCACACACATGCAGCTACGCCTCCCCTTGCGCTGCCATATACAAACCCCAGCCACCCTCCCCCTATACCCACATCCCTCACAATATAGAAGAATAAGACTTAAAATTAAGCTATTGTGCAGTCACAAACGCATGTAAATCAAGCCAAAAATATTTTCTGAAGTCAAATTAATAAACCTTGTAGATCATCATTTTTTAGAATTTGGTAAATTTTCTGGTTTTGAGATGGCAAAACCCCCTTGCTGAAAGGAGTACTTCTGGGGGCAAGGGGAGGGACTTCCGAGCACAAGATGGCAACCAGGGGGCAGGGCTACCCATGCAGCCCTTGACAGCTTGCCAAAAATCAGTAAGCAGCCCTCCACCCAAAATAATTGCCCGTCCCCAACTTAAATACTCTTCATCCCCTTTCTTTTCTGTACTTACTGAAGTCAAGCATGACTTGTCACCCTTAACTACTAACCCAAATGGAGTCTGAAGCATCTGGGTTCAAGTATATCATTAGTACTACATAAGTTGGAGGACTCCAATAGACGCACCTGATTTTTCAGCTTGGTCCAGTGATGCAAGTCAAAAGCATTAACTGACTCGAGCTACAGGGCATCATGGAAGTGAAAGATCATTTTAGGAAGACTCATGTAATATGCAGTTTAGCAATATTCAGATTAGAAGAGGCGAGTAGCACTGATAGCCATCTTCATGTTGGAAGTTGCCATAAAACAATGCTATGCATTTTTTAAATTTCCCCAGTTACATGTACCCTGAGGATCCTGAACCACTTCCTGAATTTGTACAAACATCTTGTTTCCCTTTTAACACTGAATTTTTGATGTCTTTTCTATAATCAAAAAACAAAAAAAAAAAAATGTATGAGCTTGGAAAGAGCAGGAGGGGATTGGCCCTACCTGCCAAAAAAATTCCTTGAGGTCACACCAGTTCATTACTTCTACCTCTATGGTAAAGCTATAAAATTAAAAGTAATTTTCTCCCTGTTCTATTCAATGGGACATACACCTTCTAGATACTAATGCAGAGATGAAGGGAAAGATCTGGAATCAACACCAAGATAGCAAACAGTCCTTGTTAAACCCAAAGCCTCCAACTGAAATAAGGTTTTTAAAATAAATCTGTACATACCTGTGCATTTACATTGGCACCAAATTCTAGAAGGCACTGTACCCCCTCTTCCAGCCCCCAGCAAGCCGCCAAGTGCAAGGGGGTTTGTGCATCATGAGCTTCCTCTTCTCCTTCTCCATTAGCACTTGGCTTTCTTGAGCTATTCACATCACAGCCACTGAAAGTAAGCAGAGTAGTCAAGTTACACCCATGGATAAATCAAGACTTATAGGTTTGAACAAACATGGAAAGAACTTCTCTACCATCAACTGTATGTACCATGTAAGCAAGCTCTTTTCAACGTTAGCAATAACATTGTTCCCAACACTAAGGCCAATTGTTTTTGCTACAGGACTTCTCACCAACACTGATAAATTCAAAAAAGCAATTACCTGCAGTACACTGAGCTATGCTTTGCAATAAGTCTACCAATTGCTATACAGCATGTACCTCACAGGGCTTAAAGCTGATCCTGATTCAAAATGAACAGGAGAAATCTAAAAAAAAGTACACTTGTTAACTTTCAAAACTGTCAGTCCACTAGTGGGGTGCACATTTACTGCTTGCTTGAAAGCAGAGTTAGTTGTCAAGCAGTTTCAGACTAATGCGCTTACACAGTTAACACGTTAAAGATCATTTTATGCAGCAAACTAGTGCACTACACCATAGTGCTAAAAAACAACACTTGGAAAAGGACTCTCTCACTAGTGGCAAAGCAATTTGCAAATTCTAGATGCGGCACACAAAAGCATTTAAAAGCCATGTAAAGCCAACTTCTGACCTGCGTATAAGGAAGCATGCTATTTGTTCATTGTTTTCATCAATGGCTCTGTGCAAAAGAGTCTGTAGGCATCCACCTGGCCCTGGACCCCAGCACGTTGCATCACAACCATGTCGGACCTGAAATCAAGAATGAGAAGCAAAATAAGAACAGTGGCCAGCATGCAAACTGAGGTACAACTGTTTTGCCATGTGCTGGCATAGGAATTCTCATCCCATAACTAGCCAGTAATTTAGGATTGCCTTTGCTAAAGAGGAAACAGTTAAGAAGCCTGCCTTACCCAGGCTTGAAGTTAGTTTTTGGTGCAAGGCTGCCATAAAGAACAAGCTTCAGTTTGTAACCAGGTTAGCTATTCATCTAGTAAACTGGGGGTGAGAATGGTAATTAGTAGGCATGAAAGGAATTATCATATTTCCTCAAATCCTGCTCCAACCGTCCTCTGGTGTTGCTTGCCTCAGCTCACGGGTGGAGCCACTGCCTGTCCAGGCTGGGTGCTCTGTGCCCCTTGAGAAGACAGAGGCAGTAGCAGCAAAGGAAAGCAGGGAGGAGGAAAGGAGGGCAGGGACAGACACTGAGGGAGGGAGGAGGCTGCCTGCTCCCCAGCTGCTACTTTTCTTACTTGGTATGGGGGTGGGGGAGAACAGATTTAGGAGGTCCCCCAATTTATTAGATTTTAGACAGATTTTATTGTTTTAAACATTTTCAATGCCTAGAATCTAATAAAAATAGGTGGGAGCTTGGGGGGGGGGTGCACGTGCAGCAGCAGCATCTTTAAAAAGTTCAAAGGTGTTCTTGGATTCAGGAAAATACATTCATCTAGTTAGCCAGAGCAACTTTTTTAGATAGCTAAGAAGTTCAGAGAACTAAGACATAGTCCCCACAAGCCACCAACTTGTCCATGCACACACACACACACACACACACACACACACACACACTAACAATTTGGAAATTCAAGAAAGCCAGCTGCTCCATTGCATTTGCCAAGAAAAATCTTTGGAATAGACTCAACTAATTTAACTCAAGCTTGCACAGCTGGAACCAAACAAGCTGGCTGTGCTATGCATACCTACAGCATTACTTTCTCTCAAAAGAACAGTGCTAGAAACCAAGTATAGATATTTTATTGTGCATTTCCTATTTAGCTTGTGTCAGGTATGCCGTTGTCCCCCCAATCCTGGGATCCCCCTGCACTGGCAGGCAGCAAGCTCCCACAGCCAGGAGGTCCTTTGCCTAGGGGACTCCCAGCCACAGGGGCCAGGTGCAGCTGGGACCAAGAGTCCCGCAACTACGGGGCACCTAGTCCCTGCAGTTGATGGGGCTCCTAGTCTTGGCTTCCCCTGCATTAGTTGTGGAGTTCTGTCCTGGCTGTGCATGGAGGTTGGAAGCCCCTTCAACTGACGGGGTTCCCAGCTACAGGGGAAGACCCTGCTACACATGCAGATTAAAGCTCGATAGCACCCAGCTATAAAAAAAAAAAAAAGTGTACCAACTTTTAGGTCTAACTTTATAGCTGGTTGGAGCTTTTCACTGCAAAAGCTACTTTGCACTTGTAGCTGGTCTTACCGTTATTGCACAGTAAACCAGTTAGCTGCATGATACCTATAACATGTAGAGGGGGGCCTGAGTACAATCAATCAGACAGACAATTAAAAAAAGCTGGCTGGTGAGTCTACTTTAACAAAAGTGAGAATAGTTGGTAATTGATGTCCCTTAAAAGAGGGGAGACTGAGAAAACCCTCATCTTCAATACACACAGCATCAAGAGCTCTGCTGGATTACTTGTAACTGCATGAGATCTGGTCTGGACAAAGCAAATTAGAAGCCCTTCGGTTTCACTAGGCTCAAGTTTAAAGTAAGTGTGGCAAGAACAGTTGAACCGCACTTTCAGGAGTACCAGTAGACATCTGGCTTTGGTATTTGGACTCAACAGAAATTTCAGCTACTATTCTCTTGCCATATAACACTGTTGCATCTTGGCCTTCTTCCCCAACCAAGAAGTCAAGGGACCTAGAAAGTAAAAGCATTACAGATACCAAAGATCATAAAAGTTGAGACAACACTGAGTAATGGTGTGGTGGCAGAAGCAAGCAATTGGGTTTGAACTGAGATACAAAATAAAGCCTTCCAAAAAGGAGTAAACTGATACTAGAGAGGTGGCTTTACTATCTCCCGATATTGGGCAATGCTACAGAAAACCCAAACTGGCATCAATTCCACAGGTCATAAACTTGCAAATAAACACTGGGAAGACAAAAACAAAACAAAAACCACTCTCTGTGTTACTAGAAAATGAAGCAGATTGTGAGACCGTATTATGCTTTACCAGAGTTGATGCAATATCTTTGAGGTTGTTTCCCAGGGCCAGCCACAGTGGAGGATTCCCCCTCTCGTCTGGCACAGACATGTCAGCTCCTCTGGTACAAATAGCATCAACCACAAGGGGAAGCTGATTTTTTATAGCAAGCTGGAGGGCAGTCTCCCCATCCTGGGTCCTGTGTGTAACAAACAATTGTTGCATGAGGTCTGTTTCCACCTCATTAGGGGTTAGCCTAGCAATAAATGGCAACAGGAGGTGTAGCCTCTGAATTAACAGCCGTAGACTGTGTTAAAGCTAGCTTTAACACCATAGCTGAGACAGTGGCACAGACCACTGCAGTGCTGTTGAGCACACTGAAATACTTCAAGTTTCCTGAGCTGCTGGCCCACTGTAGTAGAGAACACTATAGTAGACAATGGAACTACACAGTAGAGAGCAGGCTTTTTATTTAAAAGCGAGCACCAAGTGAGTAAGTTCTTCAACAATGAACTCTAACCACGGGGCAAGCTAGAGAGAGGCTTAGTGCCATGGCATTGAGACCACTGTACTGATGCCCAGGTTCTAAACATGCTACTAGGAATTTATTTGATCTCATTAGGCAGACAAGACTCTTGGCTAGAGGCAATTTTCTTTGTTAGATCAACTAAATAGTAGCAAAAAATTTCTCTTTCTTTGCAAGCTTTCAGGTCCAAACACCCTTTGTCAGGCAGAGACTTCAAAGGATTGTAAAAATTCTCCCAAGTATAAAAATTTCATCGTACACAGGGGAGGTAAAGGATGATGGGGTTCCCTGGGTTTCAAAGTCCATTTGCGAAAAAACTGCTCTGTCAATATGCAGTTTAGGCAGAGGTAAACTTCTTTGATCTCCTTACATATTCTATTAGAGGTTGTTTTTTTTTAGGTTCCTAGCACTTATGCTCCCCCTTCGTCCACACAAAAGCTTTTTAGGAATAAGCCAGTATCAAGGTGGCAAATGCAGACATTAAATTGCTCTGAAAAGACTTCCAGTTCTCTCACAACATGGAGAAACTGGATTTAAAAAGTATACATTTCATTGAGAATTTAAGAGCTACTGTAAAATTTCATCTACTTATCCAAGCTGTAAAATAAGGACAGTGACAGCCTCAAATGCCATTGTTCCTCTCATATCACTTCAGTTGTAGTTACTGTAAGGGCCATGTACTGTCTTCAATCCCGAGTGAAGGCCCCTTTCCAGTCATTGGGAAACTGGCCAGAGATTAAATGCCAAGTAAGCCCTCATATCTAAAGAAGTGACCCAGCAGCCATAATGCTTTATTAAAGGCCAACTTTTGTTATTCATCTTATTTTCACTTGACCTGCCCCACCACATGGTATTCCTCTGATTCTGAACTACACCAGCCCAAATCTTACCTGACATTGATATCAGCCTGGTGTTCCAACAGAAAAAGTGCACTCTTGCTATCCTGTCTCTGTATTGCCATGTGTAGCAGAGTCTGTCCATCTGACATGGTGTCATTAATGGATGCCCCAGACCCAAGCAGCTGAGCTGCTATTGTGTGCATACCTGAAAGGGAAAACTCATTGGTTTTTGAACTGGAGTGACAATAAGGAGCCTCTATGAAGTTTTTACCCATTAAGGCTTTTTGTATAAAAAGCCCCACTACCAACTAAACAAACACCTTAGCATGGGGCTTTTACTCCACTTCAGTCTGAGCCTTTACTAAAATTATACAGATACAGGTTAAAGCTCAGTTTATGCACCAAAGTCACCAGTTAGTCTGGCTCATGTTTTTCATGGGCGTCTGTTAAGTGGTCAGCTTTATTACCCCCCACAAATTTTCCCATCACCCAGCTTTGGTTTTGTTTTAGCAAGAGCAATTCAACTAGAGTTCATAAACATTAGAAGCCTCTGGGTTGTGCCCAACTCAGATTTGCCTGTGTGTCTCCATTATGGCCCATCACCACGGCTACCCAAACTTAACTGGGGAGGCCAGAAGCTGGCAAGATTTTGTAGATCCCCAATATTTAACAGTCTTCCCTTGTCTCAAAGCATTAGATAGTGAAGTTAGTGGCAACTGATCTGAAGGCTAAGGGGGAAAGACCTGAAGCCTACCAGAAGAGCAAGATATTTTATAGAACATTACTCTGGGAATCAGTAAACAGACCAGCAGTCACTAGAATAAATGCGTCTAGCTCAGCCATAAGATTAGAGGTGTTCTCCAGACCACGCCATAAAACTGGAGTTGCCAGGCTTGCCATAGAAACCAAAATACAAGTTACAAGATGTTTTTAACAAAAACACCATCAAGTCGCTAGCTAGACAATTAAGTCCAGACTTCATTCATTCAGTCACCATTACAGTGACACTGGCTGCAAGCATCAGTTTGAAGACAGAGTTATCAACCTGTGTAGGCACTTACCTGTCCATAATGCTAACCCCAATACTGTCTGATCTCTTGAGTCCTTGAGACTAAAGTCAGGAATGATCTGCAAGTTGTTGGTTGCGTGAAGGGCATTAGCTGAAAGAAATCACCACACTATTTTAGCCAGTGTGGAACAGGAGTTCCTCCATTTCAGAGCTGTTCCTGTTGTCATTGCTGCTGTAAGTGACAACACTGCTCCACTGGGCTGCTGCATTTCATTTTCAACTGACCCAAACACACCACTAAGCTTTGGGCCTTTACCTAAGCACAGGTTTTTTTTGGTGCTGCTACTTTTATAAGGCCCTCTGAAAAAAGGACCTCAGTAATGCAGAACTGACATTCTACCTCTCAGGAAAAAGAAATCATCTGCTGCCCAAGTGCCTATATGATCAAAATGTCAATTAATTAACTATTCATAAATCCAAGTTCTGTATCCATCCTATGCAACTGGAGAGAAGTATCTAATAAGCAAGGCTTCCTACTATCAAATCTGAAGTATAGGGTTAGAAACTACAGGATTAAGCTAACAATACCTAATCCAACCTGAGCAAGGGGCACATTTTAAAGTGCAGCTACTCTCCAGTAGTACAACTTTACTGAATAAGTTAATGAGTTCTCCTTAGAGACACACTTGTATAGCTCAGTTAATAGAACAAAGCCCAGGAAGCAGATTTCAGGTGTCAGGTCAAACTATGGAAGCTGCCAGTTGCGCACACTGAAGCAAACCAAATCAGTAGTGTCAACACAGACTACAATACCTACCTTTTTGTTCCAATATGACCGATACCACATCTGGGTGGTTATGGGCAATAGCCATATGAAGGGGAGTTTGCAGATGGACATTATCTGCTGCTGTGGACAAGGATGCATCCTTATGACTGGGTATCGCTTCTGTGGTCTGGATATTAGGATTGGCTCCTTGTTGCAGAAGCTCTGCTGTGAGGTTTGCCAGGCCATGTCGACAGGCTGTATGCAGTGGAGTTTCCCCCTTTAACAGAAAATATAGGCAATTAGCTGTTTTACACTAGACAGTAAACCCAAGTTACAACTGAGTATAGTCTTTTCCAGGCCAGTTCTCTCTCTTTCCTCTTACATGACAATGAGCATCCATGGCAAAGTGGCTCACATGATCAAACACCAATTAAAACCCTGACATGGGTTCTGACAGAAGTATTCCACCTTTGTTATTCTTGTAACACGCTTTGCAAGCAAGCATACTCCACCACAAGGTGTCTCACCATTCAAGCATTCCAAGTTCTCACAATTATGGAAAGCAGTCTCTTCCCCTACATAGGCCAAGTAGCACTCTTCTATAAACACTGAGACGTAATGACTTGTTTCAAAATCCAAAGTTAGTGCTAATATAAAAAAAAAAAAACTACAGCTTCTAACTATTGCCAAGTTCCAGACTGGTGCTAGGCAACTTATTTACTATAACAGTGGAGCAACCCAAAGATGTTTAGTACGACATAGTACTTCTTACCCATTTGTTCTGGTGGTTGACTTTTGCCCCATGTGTTGCCAGGAAGAGCGCAGCTGCCTCATTACCTGCTCCTGCAGCCCTTTGCAGCAAACAGTTTCCTAATGAGAAACGTTAAAGTTGCAAGATGCACAATACAGAGAATTTGAAATCAAGATTACAAATTCTTGACCGTTCGCTAGACATAAGGCTGACCTCTGGGTGAGAGGGGACAAATTTGGTCTAAAGATGAAAGCACAAGCAAACACCACTGATCATGCTTTTCCAATGTTGCATTCTTGTCCCCAAGCACTCATTAATAGAGGCAAGTTCCCAGAGTCCTCACTTCCCTTCCAATATAAACAGCAGAGCTCAACCCAAGAAGCCTTGGGATTTCACCCCCATTCTATTCTAGTTCCCTTCCCCACCCACAGTGATCCAAGAGCCTGCTGATCTCCTTTCAAAATTCCACTTAGTTAAGTTATGCTATACCAGCAAGTCAGAAAAATCTACAAGCGAGTCCATGTACCATTTTTAAGGACTCCCCCTTAAAAAAAAAAAAAAAAAAAAAAAAAAAAAAAAAAGAGATGGACTAATTCTACTTTATTAAGCACCGACACTACATGTAATAACTTGGAACCTCAAGTTCTATGGAAGATGCCATTGAGCTTGTATGCCAGGTTTAGCTTCCACGACCTTGGCATGCAGACCTTCACCCCTTCACTTGAAGGTGAACACAAATGCCTAGTTTTACCTGTTACTGTGTCTGGTGCATCTGTATTGCTGCCTCGCTGGATGAGTCTTGCTGCAAAGCTATTCTCATCAAACGATGTTCCATTCACAACAGGGGTATCCTCAAAAGGGTTTACAGACTGGTCAGATGACACTGTGATATATTGAACTGCAAGCCACAGAGCTGCACTTCCCTCATGATCCTTCAGTTCCAAGTCCAGTCTATAACAAATTTTTCAAGAATTCTGTTATTTATGCAGCTTGCACTGCACCAGGGAAGTTTTAATAGATTCTAAGACTCTTGAAAATGTGGATCTGCTAGAGTTCCAAGCAGCCAAGATCTGCCTGACTAGACTCCTGACTTAAGCCATTACAATCCATGGGCAACAGATACATTATGTGAAAGTTTAGAACAAGTTTTAGCTATAGCTTAAGTAGGACACTTCCAGGAAGACTCCTCAAGTAGGCTACTACAGGGGTGGGCAAAATGGCAGATCTGGCCGGTGGCTGGACTCCATTTCCCAGCAGCCCCTGCCCATGTCACTAGGCTGGTTTCCATGGAAACCCCAGGAGCAGCAGTACTGTGACAGGAGGCGGCCAGGGCTTCCGTGGAGACTGGCCCCAACAGCGCTGGCAGAGCGTGTGGCTGGGTGGGGAGCTGCTCCAGGGCCAGGATCTTGCGATAGCGACAACATGGTCCAGACTTGGGGCAGAGCTGCAATCTGCCCCACGCTGTCACCACTAGAAGATCCCAGCCCTGGCCCCAGAGCAGCTCTCCAACTAGCCGTGCACCCTGCCAGCACTACTAGGGCCTGTTCTCCACGGAAACCCTGGCCCTGTGCCATCACAGACCCACTGCTCCTGGGGTGTCCATGGAAACTGGCTGTAGTGACGCAGGCAGGAGCTGCTGGGAAATGCAGTGTGCCCAAGTTGACCCAGGGACTGGATTTTGCCCACACCGGACTAGAAATGTCAGAGATTGTCCAAAAATGCAAATGCTTATACGAGGAGTAGCTTATTAAATACCTCATTCCAGCTACCTCAGACTCGAGACTAGGTTCTGTATTCTTGCTTGCAAACTAGTGTACAACAGATAAAGCATGTTCTTCCCTTCTATACAGAGCCAGAAGGCAAGTTTCCATCTTGAAATATGCATCTAGATCAATGGTTCTCACCCATTCTAGGTGCAGGACATGCCTCAATAGCTTTTTCTGGATTTATCAGCACTCTACTTGAACTTGTTTGTTTGTTTTTTTTACTACAGAAAGCATAAGGGCAACTCTTCTGTTGCCAAAAAAATCAACTCAAAGACACAGTGACAGGTCAAAAGGTTTGATATTATGGATGCCTGTTTGAAATCTGAGTTTTTTCAATCATATGCAAGCATTTGCACACCTTGAGTTGGGCAGCACGCTTGGAAAGATCTATGGCATCCTGGTCAGGTCTTTATGATCAGTAAGAAAGACTGAGAAGTTAGAAACAACCTATAGCTACAAAGCTTTCTCTTCATATTTTCCACTACATGAAGCAGGGCACTCAGAGCTACAACCTCCCATGCCACCCCAATACTTACTGTTTGCACTGGAGAAGTTGACTGAATACAGGTTCATTCCTAACAGCAATTGATGCATGCAATGGGGTCCTGCAAAAGGTCAGTTACTTGTGTCAAGAAACTGTTTGCTCAGATTGATTGTTTTACATTAAGCAGCACAACATCCCCATAAAATCTGGGGAGGGGAAAAGGCAGAATCACCTACATTACATATAGTCCTCCTGTCAAGTCAGGAAGTAATGCTACATGTTTGGATTGCATTTAATTATGAGCGAATGTGGTTTCCAAGCCTTTAAAATGCCACAGACTTACCACCCACCCCTGGCCCCCACCTGGGATATTTGGACCCTTTACTGGTCTGCTACCCTCAACTTACTTTTCCCTCCCACAACGAGATGAGATCTTTGCACTCCTCACCAATTCACTCCTCCACCCCTCTTCCAATAGCAGCTACTTTGGGTCAGTAATGCCCAGTAAGACCACCATGCGGCACCAAAAGGTGCTATCTGCAGCTCTCCATTTAGAAGAAATTCGGTTTCCAAGGTGCTGCAACACTCCTATAGTCTTAATACTGGATCATGTACTTCACCCGCAGTCTTTGACAGTTAATACTGGCTACAATTTTACCTTCCTTTGCCATCTTGCATGTTTGGATTGGCTCCAGCCCGCAAGAGGGACTCTGCAATCTGTGCCATCTCTGACATTACATCTGTTAAGTGCTTCTTGGGGCTGTATGAGGCCACAAGGTGCAGAGGAGTCTCCTGGTCTCCCAGCGTAGCAGCATTCACACGGGCACCATTTTTAATGAGAAAGTTGGCAGCAAATTTATCTCCTGTTGTGGGGTACAAAAAGATTAGAAGTTGACAATTTACTGTACACAAGCTGTTTTTCAGTACATGCTTACATACACTGGTATTATTGCCCTTGTGTTAGAGCCAGCAGTTTCCCAGCCTCTGGGGAAGCATTTGATAATCCAGAAGTTTGCCATAAGAGTTATTTAAGATTCCATTCCAAGCCACCCATCTTCATTCTCGCATTCTGGCAGAGGCACCTAGTCTTTCATGAGATGAAAGCTTGCTTCCAAACAAAGAAGTGGAACCAAGTGGTCTTGTTTCAAATACTCCAAGACTTATAACAAATCATACTTACAAAAGAAGGTAAAGTAGTTGGATGGGACCTGTTTGTGTTCTTATGCTGTCAAAAGGTCTCATGAACAGGTATTACATGGCCCTTTCTCTTGCAATGGATGTTAGTAAAGAGCCAAGTCCCTGAGTCAAGAACCTACTAAAGCAGCAGCAGCTGCCACCACTAAAACAAATAACAAGCCTTTATTATTACTACAGGCATTACTATGTAAACCTAGTGTTTCCCACCCCCAAAGCTTCATGTCTTTCTTGGGCCAGATGGATAACCAGCCACTAAGGTGTTATTCTATTCATAAGCCACCTGAGCATTACTGCTATGACAACCAATACTTCCTGGGGATCTCAGTCCTCATAGGGTTTTATTCTTATGTCGAAGTGTGTTAGGTACTCTCAAGTACTTACATGTGTTGTGTGCAAGAGAAGTACTGATAGAGTTGTACACATTGGAGCCAAAAGAACTACCAGTGCCACTCATTACAGAACCTAGGACAATCCTGGTCTACAACAGTGTGCTGGTGGGGAGAATTTCCCCTATGCCATGATTAACCAATGGGCATAACAAAGGGCGCCTTCCAAATGCTGTGGAGGAAGAGAACCCTCAACCTTCCTCCCCTCCCCCATATAAACCCACTTGATGTAGTCAGGTCTCACCTACGTGATAGCAGCAATGACACTAGCAGAGCCAAATCCATGTTAATAAACACCATCTACCTATATTTCTGCACTTCAGAGTAACCTGGGGGAGCAGGGGAGAATACAGGGGCAGTCAGCTTTTGTGGCAGTCATTTTGGTCACCAGCCTGGCAGGCTACATCTACATCCCAAAATAATCCTTTCAAACTGTCATTTCTATTAACAGGACAAGGCAAAAATTGAGTTTCAGATTTAGGTCTCTTGCCAAGAAGTGATCAATATTAAAATCAAACAGCTTTGGCAAGAAAAGAAAGTAACACGAAGTAGCACTCAAGCAATGCTTAAGTAAGATCTTTAAAATCTGATTGTAGAGTTGCAAGAGCAAGTTATTGCATCACAGTCTTCACCTCTCTGGATGGCTTTGTGCAATAGACTCCAGCCTTTCTTGTCCACCATATCCACATCAGCTTTGTAGTTGACCAACGTGGTTGCAATGCCCTCCAATCTTTGTGAGAGGGCTAGATCTAAAGCAAGGTCTCCGTTCTTATCCAATTCGTTCAGCTTCCCAGGCAGCTACAATAGAATTTAGTTGACCAACATGAGTCTACAAGGAGCATGAAGTCCAATTTCTTTTGAGGCATATAAGCTCATCTTTAATGTTAAAAGGAAGATCTCAGGTAAAAAGAGAGACCATCCCCCACCCATCTCCCACAGAGAGAAGTGGAGTTAGAAGAAATCCAAATTATATATGTTATGCCTCCACTATGCCTCTTTTGGGTTTCATTTTAAAACTGGAAAAAGCTGCAAGGTATTCAGCAATGTACTTTGTCAGACACAGCTTTAGGAGTTAGTAGTACATATAAAAAAAAAAGTTGAACAAAGGTTTAGTGAAATTAATACTAGAAACTATACTAAGTCCCTCAGAGGCAAAAAAGTTGCATTACAGAATCCAATATAGAGCAATCCAAAGCCTGAACTGTTCACAAGTAACAACATCATTTCAGAAACAGCTGCTCCGTTGCAGGCCAATCATGCTCCATTATCCCCAATGGTACTAGATACCACATATTAAATTTATAATTTGGAGTTAGTTACGTAGCTTTTGGAAGCAAGTAGATAAAATACTAAGCACTTCCTAAAATGGTCTTTTCCTTGCTTCAATTCAGGTTCCATACCCATCTCATGAGCCCAACTATATGGCTGGAATCATTAAAACAGCTATTTCTAGTTAACACTAGTTCAGATAGAAAGTAGCTCTTGGCATACCTGTGAATCCATCTCAATAAGGTACAGGAAGACTACATCTTCTCTCTCCACTTTAATAGCTTTATGCAAAGGATACTGAGTCTTGGATTTGAACATTTTATACAATAGCTGAGCGCTCATGCTGCTGAAGTCCTCTTTCCTCAGGTCATCCTAAAATAAGAACTCAGAAGGTAAATGACAATTGTATTTTGTAGCATAATGTAGTGCTGTGGTTGTCTGCTCCATTTGGTCAATTTGACCATACCCAATACGTGTTCAAAGAATTAATTGCCAGGAGTGTCTTAGCAGAAATCTGCCATCTAGTGGCATAATTCAAATTCTCATAGGACTAAGAACAGAGTCTCCTCATTTTGGAGACTCACAAGAGTATTTTATTAGTCCATTGTTGACTGGTTTTACAGACAGCTGGTTTTTTTCTAGACAGGCCAAGTTTTATACTTCCAGGCAAATACGATCTATTTAATTGGCTGAAAATTGAAGTCAAGGGGAATGGCTTTCAGTAGCTCATTTGCTTCCTGCAATACTTCCAGATGTACCAAAAAACCTTCTTTTGGCTAGCTGATGCTTCTAATTTCAAGTTAGTACAGAAGCAAGCTTTTTTTTAGATTTAGAGAAAGGATAAATTCAAAGCATACAGATGCCCCAGTTGTTCTCTCTACCCCCCACTCCAACCTCTGAAGTATAACTCCTGGAGTACAAGTAAGCCAATGATCAACTTGAGCAATTCTTTCCAAAAGGAAGCCTTTGATTATAGTATTAAAGAGGTTCTAAAAATGGTAACTGGTGTTCAATAAGTAGTCATGAGCACTGGGAGTGCTACATGTATCATAAAAGGATATATTACTTACTTATTCTGCCTAGAAATTACAAGTTGCTTTCTTAATCTAAAAAAGTTTATGTGAACACATCAGTCCTTCTCCTGCATGCTTCTACCATGGTACTTACCCAGTGACTAGCTATTATCTCAGCACAGTAGTTCAGTAGAGTGCTAGCATTCAGCTCCTCCGCCGTCTGATAGAAACGAATGCAGTTCCTGACATTTACAAGCGACATGACACCTTTTTCACATCTGTCACAAGAAACAGAACCAGTATTAGGAGCTGATAAGGAAGTTCTCCAAGTAGAGCTGCCATGTTTAACAACCAAGCAACCAGCTAGAAAGCATGCCTGGAGCCAGACTGTATTGAAGCAGGAAGGAGGAAAAAAAAAAAAAAAGAAAAAAAAAAAAAAGCATGGTCCACTGTACTTCCACATAGAAGTGCTACAGTGAAAGCTCCCCTATACCCTGCTTATCTGTCTGCCCCCTGCTGCTACCTCCCTCTTGTGCCTTGTCAGAACAGCTTCAGAAACTAAAGAGCCTTAAAAAAACCAGACCATGATCTGCCAAAAGTAGATTCCCACAACACTGAGAAAGCATAGCAAGTTAAACGGTCCCAAGGTAAGGAAAGACACTGCCTTCTTCCTATTAAAGCAAGCTGAAATACTTATTACTCTGAAGGTAATAGTCTTACATCATCCAGAATTAACTGACCACATCCAGTGGAGCAGGCCCATCTTTCAGGCTGAAAAAGCAAGCTTGCTTGCATGATGCATCTAGTCAAACATGGCTGCAAGTAATGTGACAAGACAGAATATGCAAGTTTTCACCTGCAGGGGCCAGCATTCCTACCACACTTTGGTGAGGTATGAAACTGTAGATCAACTAAACCCCAAAGAAGCTACTTAGCCAGTAGCCAAAAGGGCAGCACAGGATGTTGGGATGCTTTACTAATAGATTTCTAGGGAGCATCTAAACGAGCCCGCACATGCCTCTTGCTGCATCTCAAACTGCTTTGAGATGTGACAAGAGGCACGTGGGGAACAAAACCACGCACATTATCCAGGTATCAGAATAAAAAACACGGGGG